TTCTTTAAGGAATTTTATTTTATTTTATTTATTTAATCCTTAGGGATAGCTATTACATAGCGTGCATATCAACAAATGGGTATTTATGGAATTCAATATCAAATGGCAATATGGATTTAGAATAGGTGACTATTCATCTTTTTAGAACTTTAATGTCACTTTAAAGCTATTACCTTTATTTTTGATCATAAGGCATAGCATTAGTGTATATATGTAAATTCTTGTGATCAAAAGTTCAAAGATTAAACTGAATTAACTTCAATCTCAATTACAAGGTGCTTATTCAGTCCTCCCAAATAGAGCATATGACTTACGTTTTTTATCTGTTAACCTTGATGAAAAAAAGTAAAGACACAGGTGGTGAAAAGGAATGTCAATCCCGAGTGGAATGAAGATTTAACTCTTTGCAGGCACAAGTCTTCGAATAAAGCTAGTAAGTATTTTAGTTGTTACATTTTTGTGTGATCAACTCAAGTGGATTAAAACAACACACATTTTTAGTTTAATTTTTTGAATTGTTTTTCTTCAAATTTATCAATTTTAATTCTAAAGTTTCATTTTCATGCTTGCCAAATAAAGCCTTAGTATACATATAATTCTCGTAACGCTACCGTACTGTCACACCCAAATTTTCTAAATAAAATCACTAATTTGTTCAAATCCAAATACATCAATATTACACCTAAATCTCAAAAGAAATATCATTTTATTGATACAGAATCAATTTCCTCAAATGAATACATCTCTAAAATAAATAAATAATCCTCAATATCAACTCTTCCACCTAAACCTGCAACTATAAATCGACGTTCATTTTCGGTACTTAAAATTGGAAGGGGGTGAGACAGGAAAAGTCTCAGTAGGAAAAATCAAAAATCATAATAACAATTCCAAGGTATTTCATAAAAATTAGCTTCACAAAATAATACCTATATTTTTAAACAAAAATATATATATACAATTTGAAGCAAAAGAACAATCACAAAATATTTAAAATAAAACCACCCAAACAATTTAAGGTATAAAGAACCCTACCCTCTAAAACAATTGAATCACTTAATCATCTGAGCATCAAGTCCATCTCGGGTTTCTCTCTGTCTGTTAGGGCATGTTTGGATTGAGAGATTTGGAGGGATAGTGAGAGAAAAGAAAAGAAAGGATAGTGTAAATGGTGTTTGGGTATATTAAAATGAGAGAAAAGAAAAAACAGGAAGAGATATCTATCTCTCTTTATCTCTCCTTTTTATCACTTCAAAAATGAAAAGATAGGGAGAGAAATGACAATGTTTAAATAGTATTTTCATAATTCCGAAACTACCCTCAACAATTAAAAGGAAGAAATTATTATTTCACTCATATCCCATCTATTTTAAATAACATAATAGTAATTTCATTATTATCATTTCTCTTCTTTATCATATTCAAACAATAATACTATACTTTCTTTTTTATTTATCTAAATATAAATAAAAATTATTATTATTTTTTATTTTCTTTTATATGGTAACTAATATCATCTCTTCTTTTCTTTTCCAAACGCACCCTTCGCTCTCGGCTCACTGTGTGTGTCCAAAATTTTCTCTTCCGTCTTGGTATCCTCACCAAACAACGACTGATACTCACAAGTAAATCCACCGACACTTGCAACAAATATCAGCCACAGAAAGGTCAAATCGAGTACAATGATCATTCATTTCCCTTAGCGCGGCCTCATTCATCTGAATCAAACAACAGCCCACGTGAACAAAACCAAGTCAGAAGAAAATTTGGGCAAAAAGTCCAAGTGGGTCCCGCATCATTACAATCATTAAAATTTGACTTTTCCATTTCTTCTTTTCGGCTGCCCCCTTTATCTTCCTCGATTCATTTTCTTATATATATATATATAAACTATATATATAAAGTAACAAAACTAAAACCAATGGGACCCGTCAAAAACAATCATCACCATTTCCATTTCAATTTTTCTTTTTTCTAATCCGACGGCTGGCAGCTAGCTTCATTCTTCCAATCCAATGCAACATATATATATATATATATATATATAATGCAACAACCAGATCAAGGCCCAATATTATCTTAAGTGTGGGACCCGCCAAAAACACTTTTTCATTTCCAATTTCTTTCCAATTTTCAGCCCGTGACAATTTGCGCACTTTCTAAGCAATGTGTGTGTGTGTATATATATATATATATATAATGCAACAAAAACCTAGTCAACCCATTAAATAACACAAGTGGCTAAGTCTCTAATAAAGATTAAATAATCTTGACAACTAAAAAATTTAAGAAAAAATATACTTTAAAATTTTAAAAATTCGGATTGTCGTACACTATTTTATTTTATCCAATTACTGGAAGTGTATGAAAAAGATACCTTCACCCGTGATAAGATGGGAGATGCAGAAATTGACATTGGACCATTCCTAGAAGCAATGATGATGCAGTTGGAGAACCCCTGAACCACAACAACCGGAGTAAAACCATGCCGGGACAACTGCTTAGCTAAAGACAGTTGCATTTCCGGGTGCGATGGCAAGGTTGTCCAGTGTATGCTTCTTAGATTGCAGAACGTTGAGTGTGGTTTGGTTGATCTCCAGTTGCATTGGATAGATGTTATGCATATGTAAATTACTTAGAAAAATTTAATTGTGTTAGTTGCAGTGATGACATGAGATCATTAATTTATTAAATATTGAATGAAAAATTTTATTGTATTGGTTATAGTGATGACATGGTATCACTAACTTATTAAATATTGACGAATAAAACTCACTAAAATAAAATAAATATGTTAAAGTCAGTGTCGCTTCCATATATATATATATATAAAGTGCTTTTTAGCGGTTATTATATGGTATTTTTTTTTTTTTTTAACAAAAAAAAAAAAAATTCAAGTAGACGCATGAACACTCGGGAAATATCATGGAACACTCAGTCTCTCATTTGAGAAACAATAAGAATTCCTGTAGATTTAGTTAGTTGGACCATATGTGCATAAAATTGTAAAAATATTATTTTCTCCTTCTCCCCAATTTTCTTATTTAGTTCAAACAATTTTTTTTTTAGATCTCCCATGCTAAACTCCCATTATGAAGCTTCCAACCACATGATTTTTATAAAATTTAAGTTAGTGTAACTCTAATATTTAAATTATTTATCATGTTTTCTCACATGAACTCCTTTTGATCCTATAACAGGTGATTTTAACACGAAGCTTAAAATTTGACCTCAGTGATTCATCCTTGTTCTTTGCCAACTTTATTTGTATGCTAACTCTATTTTTAATCATGTCCCTAATTTCTACCTTTAATTTGAATGGAGTGATGTCATAGTATTTTTATAAGATGCGGGTGATCCTAATGGGAATGTCAGAACTGACCTTCTTTTTTTTCTTTTTTTTTTTTTTTTTTTTTTTTTTTTTCACGTACATTCAAGTTAGGAATATAATTAAAAAACGAAACCTCAAGAATTTATTTCCCTGTTCTCTATTAACACCACTATGTATATGAAGATGGTCAAATCTGACTCTTAAGATATTATTCACGTGATTTTAATAAATTGATAGGGTGATAGACAATTTGTGTAGTCTCACTAGTTGTTAGGAACAATTTGGACCCAAAAGCTAAGAATTAATGTATTTGTAATTTAATTAAATTTTGGTTAGTTGCTTTTTGACCGAGTAGTATTTCGACTTGGCGTATTGGTAATTAGGTCTTCTTAAGTGGTCATAAATTAAATTAATTGGGCTTAGGCGGCAATTGTCTTTAGAATAACTTGTTTGGACTGAAAAGCTTTGGCCATTCCGGAAGCTTCCCTGTAAATATTACTTATATTTCAATACAATTTTATAATAAAATTAACTATCCTACCACTCATATTTTTCTTACTTTTCAAAGGAAATGACAAAAAAAACTCTAAAATACATCATTTTTTAATTTATAATAGCATAAATATTCTTTTCACTATAAAGTTCAATTTTTTTATATTTTATTTTACCTTCTCTATTTCTTCTTATAGTACTTTTTTATTTTGTGTTTCCTGAGATAATTTATTCAAAACATAATATATATAAACATAATATATATAAAGTTAATAAAAGAGTTTGCTAATTTCATGTTATACTTTTTTTATTTACCAGGAAAAAATTTTTAAAGTGTTATTTTCATTAAAGTTAGAGTGCTTACGTAAACAAGTCAGCGTCAGCCTGATGCTCTTTTTCTTCTTGGATATTTCTTAGTTAATTGCAATGACAGTAACCAACTTTGATTTTGGACGCAGTGAAAACTTGGCACAAAATTACTCACATATTTACTTTGCTCAACTGAAGACGCGATCACTCACTACTTATTTTAAAAGGTAAAAAATATATTATTAAGCTACAAGGACCATATTCGTATAGCTTTGTTCCAGGCGACTCTGAATCTGCTGGGTTTTTGAATCTCCTCAACCAGTACTCAAGCTAGGTAGATCATCTGCCTTCCCAATTATTTGTAGCTATTTAATTCGTTTTTGATTCTATGCTAGTTGTTCATGTAAATTTTTTTTTTTAATTATTAATTTTTATATTTATTAAATGCTATCAAATCCCATAAACTAAAACATTTTTTATATGGCATGGTATATGTGATTTATTTTTATATTTAAAATTATAATCTCTTATATTCGAGGATTAATCGAGCAAGGATTATTTGGAATCATATTCTCTTAATTCGATCCTCTCAATTAAATGTAAACTTGTATATCTACTTCTTGAAAGATAATATTGACGAGGGGTTGAAACTCACCTCTCTTTCAATATTTTCAAAGTGTATGTGTATAGTATATAAACAGATTGAATTGAACAAGAGTTAAGGAATTTCAAATATTATGGAACCACATAATCTTAAAGACAAAATAATCATATATCTGGTACTATCATATTAAAAATTGAAGTGATTTGATGTATCTCAGCCTCCACCATCTAGCTCCCTCAAATTATTAAGGAGAGTCTCTTATTTGTTTTCAATATATATATATATATATATATATATATATATATATAAAATTCATCAGAGGCATTTGACTTAACTGTATAAGTTCATCCTCAAAAAGAGAGGGAGGGGCTAAGTCCAGAGGTTAGCATATAGATGTGTGTATTTGCTTCGAAATAAATTGTTACATGCTTGTGTTAGCTTCTTACTTGGCCTGTTCGCTGTGGACACTGGTCATGGTGTTCCCAGGCCAATTAGATGGCTTTTGATCTTTTTTCATGAATTGAATTCCAAGAAAAATCAGAGAAACTTGTGGAATTCAAAAACATTAATTTCTTCTGAAATTCTTGATTCACTCAAGAGAGAAACACATTTCCTCTTGAATTTCAATGAATTAGGTTTTTCTCTTGTGTGCAGATAAGAAAGAAAACATATAGCTAATGGCGGAGATTGGACTCATTGGAGGGGCTGCTTTGGGAGCAGTTTTTGGTGAATTACTGAAACTTGTTATGGATGTCGCAGACAAAACCAAGGCGTTCAAGTCCGAACTCAACGGACTTAGAGCAACACTGAATGCACTGGATGAAATTGTAGATGATATTGTGAAGTTGGACGGAGAATTGAACGTTGTGGAGGAGAAACTAACCGATCTCTTGAGAGGGGGCAAAGAGTTGGTCCTCAAGTGCTCCAAAATTGAGGGTTCGAAGAACATCATGATGAGGCCTCGCCACTCGAACGAGCTCATCAAATTTACAGATTCGCTTCTGAAATTCTTTCAGATCAATGGGCAAGCTCTGCTACTTAGGGAAATCAAGAAGAATCGGGTGCAGATGAATCAAATAATGGCAAAATTGAATGAACTCAACGGACTTGAATCTGTGAACAACTCCTCTCTCTCTCACAAACGCACGCGCACATATTTATTTTGCTGCTTTAAACATTTTCAGGTGCTTTTTAATTCTCTCAGTGATGGATTCTGTTTTCCATCTGTCTCTGCAGACAGATGAAACTGAAGTCAAATTGGACTCTGATGGCTGCGAAATGACAGTGATCAACTCCATGAAAAAAGGTTCTTATACATGCTCTTTCTCAAAGCTTCTTTTCTGGTTGCCTAGTTCCGTTAGCATATAAGGTGCCTAATCATGATACTTATATATATATATATATAGCAGTATGCTTCTATATACCAATGTTAAACATAAACACCAATGTTATTTATTCTCTTGTTAATACTCTCAGGCCCGGACGTAGGGGTGGCAAAAATTCCCAACCTAGTGGGGAATCACCCCGTCCCCGCCCCTGCCCCTGCCCCTGCCCCTGCCCCATTTAAAGCGGGTTTGGAGAACCGTTTACTTAAATGGGGTGGGGGTTAAAAAAAAATCGACCGGTTGCGGGGCGGGGGCGGGGGCGGGGGACTAAGATCCCCGCCCCAGACCCGCCCCATAGCCGCCCCGTTTGATATATTAAATTACTAATTTATCCTGCCATGTTAATATATTTACTAAATTAACTTTCATTATATATATATATATATATATATATATATATATATATATATTGAAACCAGTTTCAAACCCTACTTCATTGCAGCAACCGCGTCTCTCTCAAACCCAGAACCCAGAATGAATCCAAACAAAGTCTTAAGATTCAACCTATTTGAAAATTCACATCTTTAATGTCAAAATCCCTAATCCCTAGCCAAATCATGATCCATTTCTCTCCACCAAAATCATAGTATCCATGGTTGTCTGCATTCGTCTTCAACGTCACATCCTCTCCATCGATCGCCAAAGTTTTCATCAACATCCCCATCGATTTGATGTACCGGAACGCAAACATCACTTTTTCTGGCCGTCGGAGCTTCGGCTTCAGCGGATGATTTGTCAAGACCGAAATGCAGAAGGGTTAGGGTTTGGAAATGGAAGAGGCGGCGAACACCGGAGGAGGTGGTGGAGGTCAGGTAAAGGAAAGTAAGGATAAAGGTTAGGGTTTTGGAAGGAGGTTGGGCCGCGGATCTATGGAGATTTGCAGATATTTGTGGATGGATAATATATTTTTTTTAAAACTTTTGATTCTTGCAGACAATAGATAAACTGAAATATATGGGTTTTCACCTTCTGATTCTTGTAGATTTTGTTGTTTGTAGTTGCAGAGAGAGGGTTTTCACCTTTTGATTCTTGTAGATTTTGTTGTTTGTAGTTGCACAGAGAGAGAGAGAGAGAGAGAGAGAGAGAGAGGGGGGGAAGTTCAGAGTCGAGAACGAGAATAGAGATGGAGGCGACTAGAGAGGCTAACATGAGTTGCCCTAAAAATATAATCGGTTATGGGTCAGCGGCGGCGGCGGGGCAAGTGGGGCCCAGGGGGGGGGGGTTACGGTTATGGTGATTAGAGGCAAAAAATTAACCGGTTATGGGGCGGTTTTGGGGGCACCAAAATTAAACGGGGGCGGGGACTGGGAATGGAAAACCCGCCCCAAACCGCCCCATTGCCATCCCTACCCAGACTCGAACCCTCACATTCACTTTGAGAGAGGAGATGTTATATTAATTGGATTAATGGCCCAATGGTCCAAATCAGCAATGTTAGTGAACAGTTCTATCAACTACATTCACAAATTGTACTTTTTTTTTTTTTTGGTCACAGTGACGATGGACACACTGTGATACCCCTCGCTTCTGAGACATGGATTGATCAGGCCAGGGAATATCAAACAATTAAAGTATTTAAATGAATACGAAATACAAAATGAAATAAGAATAAAGAATAAAGCTGAAAGAATACTAATTAATAAATTCTCATTAATTAATCCAATAATAAACCTCTAATAATAAAATTATGTGATAGCAGTAATTAATTAAAATTACAACTTGAAAATTCATCATGTGAACCCCTAATCCAAAATTTAACTGAAATAAAATAATATCTGACTAAAACAATAATAAGGAAATCCTACGTTAAGACGGATGAGTGAACAAATTGTCTCTGCTCAGCTCGAACAATCTCGAAGCTTGGAACTGACGAACACCTGAAAAATAATAGTAGGTCAGGCTCACAAACAAGTTCTAATCTATTACATCCTAAATAAAAACTCAGAACTCATATACATTCTAGTCAATCCAACAATAACTACATAATCCATATATACATACACACTAAAGGAGTCTCACTAGACTATAGTGTTGTCTCAACCTGAATAGTAGGCAACATGCAACCCGCACTTATAGTGGACATGACTACCTAGACCTACCAGGTAGGTAACTACACTATATCTAGTTACACATCTCTGGCAATATAAATCCATATATAGCATGATATAAATTATACAGATATTCCTTTGCATTTAATTGAGCAAAATGTAACAATTCTAAGTAGCATGCATTGAATTTATCTCATAAGAAATTAACATGCATCCCAATTAAATTGTACAACTCTTTAATTTAATTAAATTCATTTAAATTCAAACAATTGAATAAAATAATTTAATCCTATCATATTTAATTAACTTAACATTTTCAATTGATTAAATTCCATACTTAACATATAAACTTTAAATCATACTTTTTAAATTCTCCATAATCTAATTTAACAATTTAAAAATCATTAAAACAGATTAAACAATATATATACACACAGAGTATTCAAAATCCATTAAATAAATTTTATATACTGTAATTTGAGAATTTATCATGCAAATAGGTTCAATTAATTAAATTAAATATCCTGGAATTAATCTAGATCTGTACAGAATATGAAGTAAAGGCGAAGAGAATAAAAGAACTTACCTTTAAGGATTTTGATAAAAATTCTAGCCTCCTTTTTTCTCTTCCTTTTTCTTCCTTCTTCCCCTCTCTAAACTCTTGCCTTTTTCCTCCAAAATATACTACGGGATTTAATTTCTAGCCCCCTTTTTCTAACCCATATTTATATATTTATAGGCTAAATAAAATAGCTCAATCATTTTCCTAATCCAAGTCAACTTAATAAAAAAAATAATAAAATTAAAATATTAAAAAGGTAACTAAAATATGTTACGTATATAATTTATATATATCCTTATTATACAAATATACAAATATATATACATCAGATTATTAATACTAAGTTACAATAATATTAATTAATAAATTACTTTTCTTGTATATATATATATATATCTATAAATATAAAACTATTCATGGGTAACTAAAAATATATTACATATATAATTTATATATATTCATATTATACAAATATAAAAATATATACATCAGATTATTAATATTAAGTTACAATAATATTAATTATAAATTATTTTTCTTTTATATATGTATCTATATATATAAAACTATTTATGAGTAATTATCCTTACCCATTAAACTTTCTATCCAAGTAGTCTATGTGACCTAATTGGTTGGTCTATTACTACTAACTATATCTATAAAATAAAATAAAACAAAATAAACATTTAATTATTTAATCTACAATTAATTACAAATAAACAAATACATCAATTAAATCAACTAATTCAAATAACATTCAAGCACATACTTTCAATTAATCAGTTAAGTCAAATAAAACATTTAAGCAAATAAAATATTTAATTAACCAATTCAATTAAACACGTAATCAAATAATCAAATAATCAAGTAAATAAATAAATAAATAAAAATGCAATTAAAACATTTAAAATAAGACCAAGACTATCTTTTTAAAATTAGGGGTATTACACACACCCCATAGCTAGTAGCATTTAAATCTCTTTCTTTTTTTTTTTTTATTATTTTTTATTTTTTGGATTTGGATGAACTTTTTATAAATTCCCTAGATAAGTTATCGGACTTAAAAATGTTTTTATCCAACTAAGTATTGACCCAAGAGAGGGGTGGTTGGATTGGGTCTATGGCAAACAATGTGCGTTTGCGGAATTATCTATGATTCTATTTCCTATAGTTCTTGTAACTTATTTGATCAATTACAGTTATAGATTGGTTATTAGGTTATGCATCAATTCTTTTAGCTCTCTTAAATTTCTTATTAATGTAAAACTTGTTTAGCATAAACTCTTAAGTATACATTAAATTTAACACTTTCAATGATTTGTTATCATCAAAATGTCTAATATACCTTTGATTTGAAACCTTGGGTCAACAACAACTGCGCATAAAGAGAGACAGTGTACAAGAAGATGAACATACAATTGTGTGTGTGCGCGTGTGCTTACCTTCGTTAATACTACAAAGACAAGGAAAAAGTTTCAGTGAGAACTGAGACTTGTTTCCTGTACTTTTGGTTTGATTTTATCTGTTTTTGTCAGCTAATAAATGGGCTTTTAGGATTTGCTGCTTTAAGTAAAGAGGAAAGACTTATGGCTCAACAAAAGATTTTATTATAGTTTTTAAATTTAAGCAAATTGTATAGCTACCTCATAAATGCCCATGGATTTGGAGAAAACACCTCAGAAAATATATATATATATATATATATATATATATTTTGAAGGTTAAAGCAAGTAAACACCTCAGATAAGATAATAAGACACATAAAAGTCCATCATATAAACAACAAAGACTCCCAAACTAACCCTACTTTATTTTGTTTACATGTTTATTTATGTCTAATATATGTCTCTTGGGATAATCTAACCTTATGCCTCAGCCTCAATGTACTAATAAATCAAATGTATTTTTTTTTTCCCAGGCTGGGAAACGGTTAGTGGCAATATTGATCCAAACCAGGTAATATTTAGTGACAAAAACCTAAATGGATGTTCCATCATGTGAAGTACATCTTCTTCCTGCAGGAAAAGAATATAGTATAACATTATATATGCATGTGACATACTTGAGCTGAGTGGATGAAACAGAAAGAAATTTTCTCATGAGGTAGGAAGTGTGTTAAAGGAAATTCAATAGAAAGTGAGTCTGTTCTTCCCAGTTTAATATTTGATACGTGGACCAATGGCCCACACGATATTAAATATATATGATGTTTTGTTGTGTCCTTCTTCTATATATATATATATATATTGTGTGTGTGTATGATTTCATGCTTTGTCAGTTTAAACTGCCTCTTGTAGAAATGCTACTGATATATATATATATATATATATATGAGGTACAAATTTGACACTGTTTGAGTACATTTGTGTAGCAATGGTATGGTTAATCTATTCATTTTTTTTTCTTTCCATAAAATCATTTTAAAAAGTTATTTTCTTTGATTTGCTTACACTACAAATCATAAATCATATCAGAATAAATAGATACTCAAAAGGAAGAGACGTGACATTTTAAAGGTTTTGGTGATAGAATAAGATTCTTGTTCTGATCAATGTCACTTGTATATGCAAAGTGCTTTTTACCAGTTATATCACATTGACAACAAAAATTCTTGTACATTTAGTCAGTTGGATCCCATATACTCGTATGCTTGTTAAAATTTTATCTTCTACTCTTACCCCCACTCTGCTTATTAAGTACAAATTAATGCTGGCAACACTTGCTTTTTCTATAGATCTTCATCGACTTTAATGCTCGTTTGATAGGATGGAAGAAATTTGGATAGAAGGGAGAGAAGAATAGATAAATGAAACATCTTTAGGGAAGATATGTGTCCTTTCCTCTTTTTGTTTGATTGGATGGAAGAAAAGAGAATAAGAAAATACTTTATTTTGTTTGTTACGTGAAAAGAGAAGAGAAGGTGTTGTCCTATTCTATTTTCTTCCATCCAAAGAAAATAAAAGAAAAAAATTTGGTTCAATTTTCTTAATTACTTTTCTCAAATTCTACCAATTCTAATTTCAAAACTCCAATTTCATGCAACCGAACATACCTTAAAAAACAATTGCATGGTAAAAAGGTGAATATCTTAATAGAATTGGTTAGCATTAGGTTTTACAATCATCAGGCAGTATCTTCTTATTCTTTCACTTTTATAGCATTAGTGTAGTTCATGACCCTTGGCTTACCCATAATTTAAGTAATCAATACTTGTAATCAGTCTACCATGTCACACTTTTTATACACTTTAAAATGTTGCTGCCATATCAGGAACGCTTGTCAGGACTTCTCTTAATTAACATCCTCAGTGGCAAAAATCTTGCCGTCAGAGACAAATATTTTAAGAAAAGTAGCGATCCTTATGTTAAAGTCCAAATGGGCGAACAGGTAATTCTAATTTTTTTTTTCACATTTTTTGAATTCTCTTGTTATTTGACTAATTTGGTTTTTAGCTTATTTTGATACAAAGCTTTACTTTCTTTGATTAGTTAGTTGGTGCTAAATTTGTTGATGAATTGTTCTTAGTTAGGGAATTTTTTTTTATGATAACAAGAAACTTCAGAGTTTTTTTTTTTTTTTTTGATAAGATATACACACACCATTCACACACCCACTTTGTTCATTTGGAGATTCGAATACTCACCATTCATTTTCAAAATTATAAAAAATACTGCTGCACAAGGCCCTTAGTAGTTGTTTTTTTTTTTTTTTTTTTTTTTTTTTTTGGAGTTAATCACGGTCTGTAGTTAATAATCTAGCATTATATTTAAAAATCATACTCTTTTGGGGCTAACTTCTTCTCTTGAAATTAGTTAGAAATTAAATATTAGTGACCAATTAAAGAAAATTGTTTTTATTTTTTTTTATTTGTTTATTTTAATAATAATGGTGATTGTTTTTAATTGACCTTAATGTTATAAAAAGATGGACGGTCATACAAGAAATTGCTGTTTAGTAACCATTTGAGGGTAATTTTGTCAAAATAAGTTGTATTTACTTCCTCAAAATAATTAATGATTAAACTTTTTTTCTCCATCTAAAACTCGCCAGCAACAATCACACCAGAATTTGACTCAAGAAATGGAGGCAAGAAAGAAAGAAAAAATAATAGTAATAAGCAGGGTAAATTATTGGCATTAGAGGTTTAGCCACTGAAAAATATGATTCTAAATTTTACTTTTGGGTGAGTAAGAAATTGAAACTTGAAATTCTTTAAGGATTTTTATTTTATTTTATTTATTTTATCCTTAGGGATAGCTATAACATAGTGTGTTATCAACAAAAGGGTATTTATGGAATTCAATCTCAAATGGCAACGTAGTTTTAGAATTGGTAACTATTTATCTTTTTATAATTTTAATGTCACTTTAAAGCTATTATCTTTAATTTTGATCACTAGAATATACCTATATACACTAATGCTACCCTATTAGAATTGGAACTAGATGAAATTTAGCTCAAGGATTAAACTGAATTAACTCCAACCTCAATTCAGTGCTCTCAAATACAACATATGACTTATCATTTTATTTGTTCATGTTTTACTTATGTTTCTTCTTTATTAATTTTGATGCAGAAAGCAGTGACAAAGGTGGTGAAAAAGAATGTCAATCCTGAGTGGAATGAAGCTTTAACTTTTCCCATCACAGACACAAGTCTTCCAATAAAGCTAGTAAGTATCTTGGTTGTTACACTTTTGTTTGATTAACTCGAAGGGGATCAAAACAACATACAATTTTAGTTTAATTTTTTAAGTTATTTTTTTCCAATTTCTCCAACTTCAATTCTAAAGTTTCGATTTCGTATCTCCAATTTCTCCAACTTCAATTGTAAAAGCTTTGATTCCATATCTCCCAAACATAACCTTAGTGTACATATAATTCTCATAACGTTATCTAACACCATTTTATTCTATCCAATTGCAGAAAGTGTATGATAAGGATACCGTCACCCGTGATGACAAGATGGGAGACGCAGATATTAACATTGGACCATTCCTAAAAGCAGTGAAGATGCAGTCGGAGAACCACCAGAGTAGAACCACAATAACCGAAGTAAAACCAAGCCGGGACAACTGCTTAGACGAAGAGAGCTGCATTTTCGGGTGCGATGGTAAGGTTGTCCAGTATATGCTTCTTAAATTGCAGAACGTTGAGTGTGGTTTGGTTGATCTCCAGTTACATTGGATAGATCCTCTGCGTATATAAATTATTTGAAAAACTTAATTGCGCCGGTTATAGTGATGTCATGGTATCACTAACTTATTAAATATTGACACGTAGTGATAAGACTCACTAAAATAAAAGCAAATATGTTAAAGTCAATGTCATTTGCATATAGATATAAAGTGCTTTTTACGAGTTATTATATAATACTTTTTTTACTTCTTTGAAAGTTCAAGTAGACATAAATACTCGGACAATATTGTTCTAGCAAGACTCGAACACTCAATCTCTCATTTGAGAAACAATAAGAATTCTTGTAGATTTAGTTAGTCCGACCATGTGTGCATAAAATTGTTAAAATTTTATTTTCTCCTCCTCCCCAATTTTTTTATTTAGTTCAAACAAATTAATGCTGGCAACAGTGACTTGCAAAGCTTCCAACCCATATGATTTTCAAAAAATTTAAGCTGTTAATATTTAAATTATAATCGTTTTCTCACATGACCACCTTTTGATCCTATAACATGTGGTTTTAACACAAAGCTTAAAAATGGACCTCAGTGATTCAACCTTGTTCTTTACCAACTTTATTAGTATGCTAACTCTATTTTTAACCATGTCCCTAATATATGCCTTTAATTTGAATTGAGTGATGTCATAATATTTTTATAAGATGATGGTGATTTTAATGGGAATGTCAGATTTGACTCTTGAAATATATATATATATTTGAATGACTCTTTAAATATTATTTAGGGTGATTTTAATAAATTGATAGGGTGATCACAGATAAGAAATTTGTGTAGTCTTCTTACTAGTTGTCAAGGACAATTTGGACCCAAAAGCTAAAAATTAATGTATTTGTAATTAATTAAATTTTGGTAAGTTGCTTTTTCACCAAGTACTATTTCGTACTTGGCGTATTGGTAATTAGGTCTTCTTAAGAGGTCATAAATTAAATTAATTGGGCTTAGGCAGCAATTGATGGACCTCTGGATTCGTGATTTGGGTCACTTGCATGTAACTTATTACTTCTTTGGACTGAAAAGCTTTGGCCATTCCGGAAGCTACCCTTTAAATATTACTTATATTTCAATACAATTTTATCTTTTGAAAAAATTATAATAATAAAATTAACAATCCTACTACTCATATTTTCTTTACTTTTCAAAAAAAATGACAAGAAAGACTCTAAAATACATCATTCTTTAATTTATAATATCTTAATTATTCTTTTCACTATAGTACGTTTTTTTTTTTATTTACTAGAAAAAATACAGCATGTTTTTTTATTTTTATTTTACCTTCTCTACTTCTTCCTATAGTACTTTTTTTTCCCTGAGATAATTTATTCAAAACATAATATATAAAGTTAATAAAAGATTTGGCTAATTCCATGTTCTACTTTTTTTTTTTATTTACCAGAAAAAAAAATTAAATTCAAAGTGTTATTTTCTTAAGGTAGAGTGCGTAAGGGCCTGTTTGGTGTCTACTTTGTTTTTGTTTTAGGCCCGCTACAGTAGCCCAAATGAAGCCCAAAACATGTTTGATTGATTATGTTTTGTTTTGCACAGTTGTAAAACATTTCAGTAAAAAGCCTCAAAACTTGAAACACCAAAATGGTGTTTTATCTTGTTTCAGCCTTGTTTGCCCAAGAATTTCACTATAGCGGAAGAAGTAGTCGGCCTAACTTAAAACATACTTCAGGTATATAAACATTTTAGGTCATTTTGGACAAATTTTGCTCTCTCCTCTCCCAATACTCTCTTTGTGATTCAAGGGCGATTTCAGAAATTTTCATCAACACTGATCGCAGTTGAACCCTCAATTTGCTGGATTTGATCAAATACAACACTTATGGAAGCTGGATTTGCTGGATTCAAACTTGAAACATATACAACACAGATCACACAGAAACAAACCAGTATCGTCTTCATCTTTTTCCTTTCAACCAGTAACCCTACTAACACATGATACATTTACTTTAGTGCTCTGAAATAAAACCATGGTTGCCAATGTTTTCATAATTGGAAATTCTTAATTATTCTTGATCACTGAAGTTGAATATGCAATCTAACTCAGGTAGATTCCACTCTCGGCAAAGACAAAATTTTGAAACCATTTGCTGAAAATAAAAGCCCTAGTTTCAAAGCTAGAAGATTTTTTGAATCCTTTTACTGAAATTAAAACCCCAATTTTTGTAAAATCTAATCTGGATACAAACCAAACCCAGATCACACAAAACCAAACCAGTATAATAACCCCACAAAACCCAAACACAGCACAAACCAAACCAAACCAAACCCAAAACAATGGAGTTTTCATCTCGCGTTGGCGGCCTTGTTCGGAGCGTCGGTAATGGCGGTCTCTGCCTTCTACATCCATAAGTGCAACCTCGACCAAGCTCTTAAACGCCTCATCAAAATCCGCCGCAAATCCCCTCCTTCCGTTGCCGACGATGCCGATCATTTCGCCTCCGATGACGAGGAACACAAAGATCACGACGAAGGTGGAGAGATTGACAACTTCATGTCAGCTGAGGTCCTGAGATAAGGCTGACTTTTTTTTTGTTTTTCACTTTCAGTTTTATTTTTTTTTTTTGGCAACAGTTGTAGTGACCAAACGAGTTTTGCATGTTTCTGTTTCTAATATTTTCACAACAAAATATCATTCTCAAACGTGCTTCTGATTTCTTTACAAAACACTCCTACAACAAAAACATTGTTTCTGTTTTTGCCAAAAGTAAAACGCCAAAAACAAAACGCATACCAAACGGACTCTAAAAGTCTTGGTCAATAAGTCAACATCAACCTGATGCTCTTTTTCTTCTTGGATATTTCTCAGTTAATTGCAATGACAGTAACCAGACTTTGGACATTGTGAAAAGTTTATCCCCCATCATTTACACGTACAGTTACTTTGTTCAATTGAAGATTTCAACCTTCATCATCTATTTTAAAACCACTTACTTTAAAAAGTAGAAAAGATAATCATTAGGTTACAAAGTCCTTAGTCTTTGGTCGTAACTTAGTAGGTGTTTCTGGTTTGACAGAGAAAATGTTTACAGCATTAAAAGATGATTGATAGTTGCTAGTGAAAGATGAGGTCTAAAGCTATTGTAACCATTTGTTTCAAGAAAATAAATAAATAAATAAATAAATTCTTTAGAGCATGTGTATCGGTCTCACAATATATGCACCATTTAAGTTAGGAGTGCGGTTCAAAAGCAAGATCTCAAGGATTTGTTGGGTTTATTTCCTTCTATATGGAGGAAAGCCCAAGTGGGTTTTATTAAAGCCCAAAGCCCAGCCCTTTAGGGTGAATAACCCTAAGGAAGTCAGAATAAAAAAGGTAGGAGAGATCAGCCATAGCTTACACAAAAAAAAGAGAGAAAAACACAATTTTTCTTCACACTGCCCAGGTTTCATCAAACCTCTGATCCCGCTTCGTCCGTGGTCCGATCGAGCTGAAATTTGGAGGAGAGGTTCACGACTCAATGAGTTAAAATCTAACGGTGGAGATCGGATTTTGAGCTCGGGAACAGTGATTCGTGCCCGTGAACAGTAACCGGGTTTATTGTATTTTCTCTCCAATTCTCTTTATTTTTACCAAGATTGATGATATCTTGATAAGATGTATTGTAGCCTCTAATTGCGATTAGAGAAGACTTTGTGTACCCATTATTTGGTTGATAGTGGAGATTTCAACTTGACTAGGTCTCGTGGTTTTGTTCCTCACACTGGGGAAATTTTTCACGTAAAAAATTACTTGTGTTCTTGTGGTTTGGTTTGATTGATTTTCTTTTCTATTATTTTCAGCACATATAAAATTAGAGATACACTATATTTGCTTGCATATAGGGAGAAGAGTTATTCCGCTATATTTGTTTATTGTTATCTCTCCTAACAAAGTGGTATCAGAGCTCCAGGTTGACAGATTGTCAGGCTAGCAGTTTGAGTTATGAAAGCAAATACGAGTAGAATGATTAATCTCAATGGTTCAAATTATCATATATGGAAAGGAAAAATGGAGGATCTTCTTTATGTGAAAGATTATTACTTACCGGTGTTTAGTGCTGAAAAACCATAAAACAAGGCTGACGTGGAATGGACTTTGTTACATCGACAGGTGTGTGGGTATATCAGGCAGTGGGTAGATGATAATGTTTTGAACCATATTAGTGGAGAGACAGATGCACGTTCTCTATGGAGTAAGCTTAAACAGCTATATGCTAGAAAGACTGGAGATAATAAATTGTTTCTGATTAAGCAGATGATGGCTTTGAGATATCAGGACGGGACTCCTTTATCTGATCACTTAAATACATTCAAAGGAATTATTAATCAGCTGGCTGGAATGGGTATTAAGTTTGATGATGAAATACAAGGGTTATGGTTGCTTGGTTCATTACCGGACTCGTGGGAGATGCTCAGAACTTCATTGTCTAACTCCGCTCCAGAAAGTGTAATCACAATGGATATGGCCAATAGTTGTTTGCTAAATGAAGAGATGAGAAGAAAAACACATGGATCCTCTTCACAATCAGAGATCTTGGTTACAGAAAAGAGGGGGAGAAGTAAGAGCAGAGGTCTAAAGAACAGAGATAACAGAAACAAGTCCAACAAGTGTGCAAATGTTGAGTGTTATCATTGCGGGAAAAAGGGACACATCAAGAAATATTGCAGGCAATTGAAGAAAGAAAACAAGAATGAGAAATGGAAGGGAACAAAGAATGGAGATGACAAAGATGGTGATGACAGAGTTGCTACCACCACTCCTGCAGACTTTCTCATTGTTTATGATGATGAGACGATAAATGTTGCATACAATGAGACCAATTGGGTGATTGACAGTGGTGCCTCCATTCATGCTACATCTCGGAAGGATTTCTTTACATCTTATAAATCTGGTGATTTTGGAACAGTAAAGATGGGCAACAATGGCTTGGTTAAAGCCATTGGAATTAGGGATGTGTATCTGAAGACAAATAATGGCACGAGGTTAGTTCTCAGAGATGTGAAGCATATTCCTGATATTCGCTTAAATTTGATTTCT